ACTTGGTAGCCCAGGCTGGCCTCGAACTCACAGAGATCCGCCTGCCTCTGCCTCCCGAGTGCTGGGATTAAAGGCGTGCGCCACCACCGCCCGGCTTAGCTTTGCTTTTAAAAATACAAGGTTACATGACAAAGAACACTTACTTAAAAGGAGGCAACTGAAGTTAGTTACATGAATTCACATTAAGTTGACTAATATGAATTTTTAAAAAATCCTATTACTATATACACCAGCAAAAGTGTTAAAAAACTACAATGCCATCATTATTTATAAAGCTAATCTTTAATTTGGTTTAACTCAGATAAAGTGTTCTTCTTCCAGCACACAAACATGGAAGATGATTCTAGCACTTTTTGGAAGGTGTCATTTTTAAAGGTCAAATATAACTATGAGATGGCCTCAAATTATGTTCATAGAAATTATTGTATAATTCAAGGATCAGTGTACAGCTGGAATGGTATCTCAAGCATATCATTTGATTGACAGTAAGAAGATACGTTTAGTCAATACATTTGATAATGTGAATGCAGGAAACAGACATGCAGTTTATCTTTAACATACAATGTTAAATCCTAGAAAAAGTTAAGTAGGAATGTTCAGTAATGCTACAAAGTAATTAATCCTCCTTTAATGGAAAGCTGAAACAGCTTTAAGAAAAAGCAATTCATTTGGAAACTTGTGTTTCTTTTCTCCTTTCAAAGACACCAACGAAAACACAAAGTGTTCCTGCATCAGACACCAGCAGCCAGGCGATGGAAGACACAAACGAGGAGGAGGAGAAATCCCAAGGTACAGAGTGGCCTTTCTCCTGACACAACAGAATCTCAAAGTAACAAGAACTCATTTTGTATTTAAAAAAATATTTGATCCTGAGAGGATCTTCTAGATGTAATTTAGGCAATATGTAAAGATGGATTTCCTCACCCTCTACAAATACCTTTGAGGCAACCTCATGACTATTCACTCTGTGCTAATTAATTAAGGAGAAATTTTTAACTAAGAGAGCGAAAGAGATTTCTAGCAGGCAACCTATTTAGCATAAAAATAAAATGAGAAATCCTGTGATCTGGTTTGCTTATTGGTTTTGGTCCTGTTTATGCTTGACCATACATTTATTCTGTGTGGCCAAAGCCACCTCAGCCCCATTCTTTACCACAATTTCACATGATTATTTAGATTGAAAGATCACAGGATCAAAAGGCAACAAAGTATACAAGACATTTATCTCGTTCACTACAGCTGTTTCTAATTCCATATACTTAGTGAAATTCTTTTCCAACAGAAATATTTTACAATAGTTAAAATTTAGAAATTTCACTATAAATTCCCTTAATTCTGCTTCCAAGTATTGGATGTTTACTGTGTGTTTGGCTGCTCCAGGCTGAATTGAAATAATAATTAGAAAAGCAAGTTTAGCCGGGCGGTGGTGGCGCACGCCTTTAATCCCAGCACTCGGGAGGCAGAGGCAGGCGGATCTCTGTGAGTTCGAGGCCAGCCTGGGCT